ACTAATAAAATTAGAAAAATCCTCCATAGCCCTGTTAATCTCCCTCCGCTCGACCTCTCAAAAGGAAACCTGACTACATTAAAATCACCCCCAATGCACACTGGTAAATTCCACCATTTGCAATAAATTCCCACTGAAGCATCAACCAAATCACGATTTTTATTGACGCCTTTTAGGTGATATTAGAAGATGAGTTGAGATTGAAATATGACCAGTGTTTCATCACTATGAGTCAAAATATGCTATACTTTTTCAAGAGTACAGTAATTATGTACCATAATGAACTAAGGGTGGTCATCTTGCAATACCTACAAACATCATAGTTTGGCTTTCCAACACATCAACCATCATATCCTATGCTTAGAAATGTAATATTTATTTTCTTTTATTGTGGAGAATGGCAAATGAAAATTCTTAACTGCATAGAACGAGAAACCACAATAATATCCATTTTATGTGGCATATCATTGCAAGATCTGAAGATAAGACATATGAAAAGACACCTAATCTCCTTAAAGTATTTAATAGGGAGATGACACTTTCTCCAGTAATCTATTTCTTTAGTTTTTAGCAGGAAGATTGTCAGCCATTTTTCACTTTAAAGGCAGACAAACCAACTTCACGCCTCTCTTGCAGGAGTTATATAATTTATAGTGCAGCAAACCAGCAAACATTAATCTGGACATTTCTCTAAGACAAAAGTAGAAAGACATAAAAAAACAGCAGGCAAAATAATAAAAACCTGCAGGTTTATCCTTCCTTGCCAAAAGTATCCCCATAAATATGCACACCAACGAGAATAGAACAGGTATGAGAAAGGCCGGTGCAACTCGATTTATCATTTTTACGCCACCAAAGACTATGAAACACAAGATGATTGTCACAATAATCCCATAAATTTGCAAGTCATGTAAACTCGGAGCTGTAATGGGCTCCGCAACAGCCGTTCCATTTACTTTTGTGACCGTCTCTGCATCCATGAGGAACACAATCAAATTTTGGAGACTAAATTCGTAACGCTATAAATGAGTTAATGTAACCAGTAATCAATAACAGCTACTGGCAACTCCATCATATTCATACAGAGTGAGTAAAAGCAAGGATAAATAGCAACAATCGGCTAATCGCAAAACTACCACTACTCTAACTCAAACCTAATTAAAGCTGCCCCACATGTTGCATACCATATAGCATTTTATTTCAATTAGGCAAAGCTTTATGGTGGTGGGTGCCTTATAACCATGAATACGAAAACTAATCCTCAACAGCCAGAAGATTTATATAAAGTTTTCATTGTCTTACTCCTTCCAGGTTTACATATATATATATATATATATGAGAGAGAGAGAGAGAGAGAGCACTGAACATAGTATTAATTTGAGTGCAGGTACTGGCTACCCCCATCAAACCCTGAAAAAATATCGAGGTACCCAAAAGAGGACCTGCATCATTAGGTCATAATGGTTCTTGAAAGACACCCCCTCACAGCCAACCCCAGCCAAGGAGCTAATCCCCCACTCGAACCAATGAAAATAGGCATTACATGGAGTTTTTGCTTATTCTTTTTGTTTGTCTTTTCATATTCAGTGCGTGGAAGTGTTAAGAGATCACACACACAAAAAAAAAAAAAACTCAAGATACGGTAAGAATATTTAGAGAGGTCAAATGAAAAGCTTTCTGATAAATTCTGTACACTTAATCATACGATTCAAACACCAATTCTACAATATTCCCCCAGAAATTACCTCTAAAAAGTCCTGCACTTGGCACAGCATTCAGGAAGGTCTCCACAGCTCCCAACACATAACTGAATCACAAGAAAATTGAAAGCATAAAAATGTTAGGAACGAAATATTTCTTGTGTGGCACTATAGAACCCGGAAAAAGAAAAGCAGTCAGCCCCTTGTTTATCTCCATCTCATATCATGCACCTACTTCAATATAAAATTATCACAAATAGGCACTCACAGGGCACCGGCAACAGCATTTCCGAGGAAAAAGCAAAGCCCAATGCTAACTCCAACCTCTGGACCTAAGGCACGACCAATTAGGTAATAAGGTCCCCCACCCTAGATTAGAGCAGATAGATTGAAAATGTATTAAAATCAATTCATTCACTGAAACTATACATGTGTAGCAAAATACACCCATATCTTGCAGTTTATCATTAACTGAAGAAGTAAACATCATTATAACGAATGTCAAAAAACATAAAGGTCATACCTTCATTGCGCCATTTGTTGCAATAGCACTCAAAGATATTGTTGTAAGGAAAGTACATGAACCGCAGAAGGCAACGAGCAACAAGGACTCACCTATCCCAGCCATACCTACAATCCTACAGTTTTCATAATACCATATGAATCAGAATAAGAATGTTTTGGAACATATTGCATGGAATAAACACTAAAATTAAAAAAATGGCTTACACTTCAAATAAGAAAGAACAAATATAGATTGGAGGATTGAAATTTATCCTGTACGTTTTATGATCTCAGTTCACTAAGATACTTTATAAGACGTCGTCTTCAAATTGCAGATGAAGGGCAACAAGGTATCCACTACACTTTAAACACAGTGAAATGTCTGATATAATGAAAGATTCATCCATAGCCTAACAGCATGCAGGAAAATACAAAATTATTCCAACTCCTTTTCCTAAACCAAACTCCAAATCTTTCTCTCATGCACAAGCAGACAAACTACCACTTAATACAGCCACATAGGCTGCAATTAACATCTTCTCACTAAGAACAAACAAGAACATTGGCATCCGAAAGGAGGAAAAATGGAACTATAATGGACAAATGAAGCTTTGAGGTAGATGCTAGATTAGCAAATCCAAAATGAATACTTGGAAAATACCAAGTGACATGCTGAACAAAGTCATCCAATATTATATTCAAGTAATGCCACATCTAGAAATCCAGTTTGCACTGTGATCTAATTGATGTTTTGCTACAAGAGCCAGATAAGCCACCTCTTGGAATTCTTTATCTTCCATCAAATAAAGTTCATTTTAGTTTTAATAATGTGAAATTGCTGGTGTATATTCTTCATTTTTTTTAATTCATTAAATTCCTCAGTTTAATTGAACATATACATAAGCCCCTGTTTGAGCCATATTATTTTTTCATTCTCATTCTTCTACTCATTTTTAACCACATATTTTCAATAAAATAATATTTTCCATCACATCAATAACCTTTCCTTCTTTTTCAACCACATATTCCCCATTACATAAAAAAAAAATGCATTCTTGGGGAAAAAAATGTGCCTCAAACAGGGGCTAAATAAATCTATTTTGTTACCATTACATCTATATCTTATATTGCAAAATCCATAAGCATACATGAGCCTACCAAGTGTTATGCTTGATCGAGTGATTTATTTCCATTTTAAAGACACAGATGACTAAAAGATTGAAGCGTCTATTTCCAACTTATTGTGTGTGGAAGAGGCAATGCAACTATAGGGAGGCTAGGCCATGATTCCGGGCATCATGTTATCAATTCTAGAAAAAAAGGGGCTAGGTTAAGTAGTTGAGATTTGTTTAACATTCATGGCATCAGTGATAGGGTGCCTATAGATGTCCTATGTTATGGGCAAATCATAAAGTCTCCGCAAATATCTTTCCCAGAGCCTACAAAACTGTAAATGAGACAACATTCTCAATTTCACACCTGAATATGAACACATTATTGACAGATGAAAACAACGTACTTCTATGTTTGGGTGAACCGTGAGAGGAATTTTAAATAGCAGTTAGCATAAATATCTAGCACTGTAAAACTTACCACGTAAATCTGATATAGTAGATGATTCCCAATATGTTTTGCAAGCAAGGCACGAACACCCCCATCATTGTTCCAGATTTGATACCTGTGGTCTGCAAGAATAATTCAGCAGAGGACATAATAAAGGAATCAAAATACACTTTGAAGACAAAATTAGTGGAGTGCCACATGCAAGCTCTTAAACGATAACTGTGATTCTTTTTAACAAAAAATATAGCAACAGTTCAAAAGTGAACCCGAAGAGGAAGAAGTGCAAAAATTAGTTGCCCCAGCCCATTTTGCATACAAGGAAAAATTTTCGACAAAAGTTTGAGATAACATGAGTAATTACTTAATTGCTCTAGTAATTAATAATATTTCCTCCCAAAATCAATAATTTTTAGACTATTGTACTAAAACAACTAAAAACATGGGACTGGTATAAAAATATTAATTAGCAAGCACATCAACCATTAGATAACAATCATAAAAGAGGTACAAGCTAAAGGAAGATTGAACGAAAGAAAATATTTATTGGTACCTTGGAACGTCCCAGAGGAATAGTTGCATCTTCTCCATCTCTAAGACTTGAAGGTGCTGGAATCTGATCACCTGTCATGCTGAAACGTGAACATTTATCAGAACATCAAACATTCAGACAATAAATAATGAAACTCTTCAAGTAAAATATTGTTCAAAAAACAATCACAGAAGAATATGAACATTCATATCTCTTCTGCATTTCAGTAAAGGTAACAAATGAAAATAACTAAGATGGATACGAACATTATGTGTACTATGACCTAGGATTTTCATTTTTTTCAGCTTGGAAAAGGTGAATTTTGATATTCAAGAAAATAATTAAGCCCTTCCCTCAAACTCATTTTCAAGCACATGTTCTCCTAATAAAATAATTTTGCAACTTTTCTACTTTTTAACCACGCATTCTCCAAATAAATAAATAAATAAAATCAGTTTTTACAAATTCTATTCTCAAAAAATGGGGCTCAATCAGGGGCTAAGTACGCTCACCTTTTAAGCCCTAAAATGTTTACAAGGGAGTCAAAGCCAAATAATTCCAACTTGGACTCGGTCTGAGCGCCATTAACACCATCATGATTCGGCAATGCTCCATCTTTTCCTTCAGAAGTCATAACTGGCTGCATGCCCACTTTAATTTTTCTACAAATGCACTTGGGTCAGTAGCAATGGAAAAAGAAATTGATAAATTTCTCAAGGACTTACTTTCCAACCAAAATTTCAAATAAGCACCAGGAAGTATAACCAATCTGAGAAAGCATACCAGGACAGCTATGAAAACTTTACAAAATATGAAAGCTATAAGAGGCAGGAAGAATACAGAATAGAGAATATTTTAAGGATTACCCTAAGACCATTGTATGAAGGGTACTGTGAAACAATGTTCTATATCATCTATAAACAAGGCATAAATATACAAGCCGGTCGGTCATCAAGGAACCTATTCTTGAGTTCAACTGATAAGTGGAATACCTAAATATTATAATTACAGAAATCGAAAGTATTATCCTTTGATCACAGGATTTTGTTATTTTTATTATTATTTTTGGTGTAGTTTAGTATAAATGGTAGATGATGTCATTTTGTTCTAAAAGATAAATCAAATAATTATTACAAAGGAGTGGACCTCAAAATGCCTTGTCCCTATATATTTGTTTCATGTAACAGCATAGTAATGAGACACATTGTAATCTTTTCGAGCACTGTCCATTTGCTCAAGAATCGTGACAAGACTAATTGCTATTACTGGAGAGCCTGTCGTTATTCTTGCATCTGCCTAACAAATTTCTCAAACTTTGTGGTACTGGAGGCAGCAAGCATGGTAAGATAATTTGATAATGCACTATGATGGCCATTCCCGTGTGGCTACCGATGAACGCTGTGATATTTTAAAATCAAAGTGTTAAAGTGAAAGGCCATAATATTTTCTCCAATTGTAAATCTCACCTCACATTTATATCATTTTCTGCAACAGTCTACGATTTTGGTGCTTCATAATTTTTATCTTCTCAGACTTTTTCTCATTAAATCAGAAAGCTTTACAAGATTCAGATGCTACTATGCTTCAAAGGGGAAACATAATTATCTTTCACTCCATAAAAACAAAGGATTCATTTATAATGCCCGAGCAAAGCACAAGTTCTTTAAACTTAAACATACAAAAAGTTGTTCTCTGCACCAAAATTGTTGTAGTTGTTCCAAAATACTCGCTTCACAAACAATTAAATAGATAACGTACTAGCATTCAATTCTGTCGTAGCATATCTGTTCGTTAAAATGCACAAATGAAATCATAAGCAAACATTCAAACAGAAGAGCAATGACGAAAGTGGAGATAAAGTTACTTGAGATCGTTCCGAACAGGTAACGAAGACGACGAAGATGCATCACCAGGATCGATTGACGACATCTCAAGCACAGCTCGGTCGTGGTCATGAGCAAATACCGGTCTATACTTGCGTCCTCCCACACCCCTGCCAGACGAAATCTCATTTTCATCCGAACTTTCTATTTCTTCTCCATTGCTGTTATTACTCGCCATTGCATTGATTCAAATCAATCAATCAATTAGATCTAAGCATATGTCTGCGATGCCAGAGATTAAGAAGAAGAGAGAATTTAGATCCAAACAATCTCTGACTATTCAAATGAGAAGGTTGAATAATTGAAACGATCTTCCAATATAACTCTACGGATCCACGATTTACTATTCATTTATCAGGCTTTTATTTGTTTTCCATTCTACCCCGTCAATAAATACCCTATCTTTTATCTACTCTCTTAATTAATACTTCCTAATTTACTATTCATTTATGAAGCTTTTATTTGTTTTCCATTCTACTCCTTCAATAAATATCCTATCTTTTATCTTGACAAAAAAAGGGTAATATAATCTTTTTCCTCGTAGTCACACTTGTTTACTCTTCTTATGCCCCTGTATTCCTCTTAGAGGAAATCGCACTAGATATCACTTTTTGGTTTTACATTTATAAAAATGTCACTTTTTTGAAGTCTTTGCAAAATTGTCATTTTTGAATATTTTTGTCTCTCTAGATAATTTAAATAGCTGACATGTCATTCATTAAATGAGATTTGACAAGATGAAAATTGTACAAAATTTGTGTAAATGTCAGGGAAGAAATCCGTCAATTTATAAGCTTATTTCTTGATTTTCAAATACCATTTTAGTGCCTACTTGTGTCCCAACATCAATGGCTTAAAAGCAAAACTCTTCTTATTTCATTTTATGCAACTTATATGAACTTTCTCTCACTAAAATCTTGAAGAAGAAATTGACGGAGGAGAGCACATTCAGGGTAAAATTTATATTCTTTTTGTGGGTTTATGGCATTTTTATTTTTAAAATTTACTAAAAATTCCTATTTTTCCCTTCTTGGATTTCTCTTCCTCTGTTATCCCTTCATCTTACACCGAACGAGGAAAGCGAAGAGTTGCCAAGACTCTTTGATAGGCTAGCTTGAATTTGCGTTGGAAACAAGGCTGGGCAAAGCATGGTTGCCAATGGATGATTCCTTGCTTTGGTTTTCCGCTTTTCTGATTTCTGATTACATATTGTCACTCTCGTTTCTGCTAGAAATGAACCCACTATTGATAAATACTTTGAAGAAATTTGTGTACTAGGTGAATGTCAGAAGTGTTTGGTGCTGTCATGGGGAGAATTTCACTTCTTTGACTGAGCATAATCTTGCCATCACTTGCTCAAAATAAGAAGCCAAATTTTCATGTTTCCCACATATTTGTTTGTTTAAGTTTGTTAGCATTGTCTCCGAGGGAGTCGGGATTGATCTTTTTTACTTTTACACTAGCAAATAAAGAAACAGTCAGTTTAGGATTTTGTAAAGGGTTGGGATAAGTGGCATTTGGGAAGTAATGTGAGGGCAAAGGTCCAACAAGGAGTCATTTTAGTCTCCTGGACTAATTGGGCCAATGAAAATGATGATGCAGTCCATGTTGCAATAATAATCAATTTATGATCAGATATGGAAGAAGATGATATTTATAATCATAATTCAGATCTACATATGGTTGACATGATGAATGAGTTGTGAACTTTGAGATATTTCTAAGCTTGGCCTCTTGAACCATGCCTGTAATTCTAGTAAAAATGTTTGTGTCTCTTTGTGCTAATGTATCTTTTGGACCCTACATATCTGCATATCATCCGTTCTTGTGGTATCGTGCAACTTGATTGCTGACATTCCCGTGTTTGGGCCTTGCTTGATATTTAATGTGAATAATGGTTGCATGAATTTCTTTTTTTAATTGCATTTCCGCATAATATAGTTATCTCGAACCCATATGAAGTTTGATAGATGCCAACATCCTCAGAAACAAGATATGAGATAGCAAAAGAATTTGAAGAAGACCAAAAACTCTAGTTAGTGAATGGATAGTATGTTAAGAATAGTGGACCCGACAAGACATTATACTTGAATGATAATTACGGGAATTTCTCACACGTGATTTCAGTTGCCTCATTTCTCCTTTACTTTTGTAGGAGTATATCTAAATGCATGATTTGTGAACTTTGATATAACCATTTTTATACTTCTATTGCTTAGATATGAGATGACCCACTTTGGACTTCTGCTTTCTTGAAAATAAGCACATTCTTAATTTTCTTTATGGAAATCATTTTGGCTCTATAGCCGGATTCCTATTGATGAGCCTATAGTGAATTCAAATGTTATTCATTTCATATTCTCACCGTCAACATTTCTTTCTTCAGTCCACTCTATCTAATCACTTTACTTGCACATTTTTTTATTTTTTCCCTCTCCCAAGATCCTTTACTATAAACTAGCATTTCCAAACTAGCTTTTCACTGGTTTTCTAACTATTTTTTAATGATGACGGGTTGCAAAGAGGTAAAAGTGACGTGTTAAAGAAGTGGAGGTATCTTTTCGATTTTGTAGAAGTCGCAGCTACTCCTCCTTCTAATAAAACATTTAACCCCTCTATAAAGGGATATTGGTTTCGGCATGTGATTGCAATTCTATGAGATGGGTCGCCCTCATGATTTCTATCGTGCATTCACCTAGAGACCTCAACTTGTTGTAAAGCTAAAGCAGGTTGCCTATTGTATATATGCACGTGGGTTTGTTGATTTTCACAACTTATGTACATGACATATTTCATTGTATTGTCCTCTATGTTAAAATGTTTGAAGTAAACTATTTAATTTGTCGAAATAAAAGTCTCGACAATTATGAATTCTAAACAGATTAATACTTCTCGACAGATTAGTTATCTGACCCATCGTCGTTGTGAACTGTCGTTCTCAATAGTTCGTCTCTGTTATTCTCGACAGATGACTAAATATCGACATATGAGTTGAGTCATCCGTCGATATGGACTGTCGTTCTCGACAGTTAAATGCAGTATTTATCGACATATGGTAGCTTCTCGATAGATCGGTTTGGCAGTCATATGTCCACATGTCCAACTTTAGTTCATCCAAACATTACACGTGTTTTTTTTTTTTTGGTTTCCTACTCGTGTGTTTCACATTAACATGTACTAATTATTATGATGTGATTTTCTTTTCTTTGTTGTTGTACTTTGTTCTTGCAGATGAATTTTGAAATTCTCGTTCCCGAAAATGTGCGCTTGCGCGCCCCATATATCTCAAATGAGTAATTTAAAATACGTGAAAATCGTATTGGAGAATTTTGATGCTCGACAGCGAGAAGATTTTAGCGACTCGTACCTCAGGTTCCTGACCAATGTACTAGACATACAATTCTCGACCCAGTTAATCCAACACCTAGTGTTCAGATCCATTCATACCGATAAGACAAAGGAACTGTGTATTAATGTAAAAGGGCACTGACAAGGTTTGGACTACAAGAGCATGCGATCATGACGGGATTAAAATGGGGTCGCCCCGAAAAGCAATGAGTCTAAAGTCATGGAAAAAATGAGACTCAAGGATAAATACTTCAAATCATTGGATAAGATTTCATGTGCCCATGAAAAATGCTTTTCTCCTATCGTCGACGCCCCGAGCTGATCGATACAAGCTTGGCCTCGTCTTAATTGTCGAATGAGTATTTAATGCTCCGGATAATAATGTGGGTATCGATATCGACACATTGTCTATCGTCGACAACCTGGACATCTTTTTTGACTACCCTTGGGGTAGAGTGGGTTACAATCGTCTGTTAAAGGGATTTAGGGATAGTTGGACAAGGAGATTTCGTAAACCAAGGCGAAGAAAGAAAATGAGATCAGTTATACAATTCACAGATTTTCCATTGCCATAAAGGTATGAATAATTGCCCTGAAATAGTACTAATTATTGTGTTTATATAAATATGTTGTCATGTGCATGGAAACTCGATAACAACGGTATTCTTTGCAATAGATTTGGGCGTTTAAGGCGGTTCCTAAAATTGGTGAAAAGTTTGGTAAGAGGCTTTGTAATCGATCGTCAAGGCTTCTTAGGTGGACGTGTTCAAAACAACCGCAACAACGTACGTATGAGGCATTCTTCAAGAACGAATGGGTATTTGATATGTCTAATCTAGTTAATCTTTCAATTTGGGACCTGTATAGAGTACATTCCTGTGGATACTCATTTTCTATACTCGCAGCTACATGTGTATGCGATGCTACGTCCTACTGATGAAGAGAGTAATAAACCACATATCTCCACCCTCGTGCCTTTTGAAGATACTTTCGTGTCGAAATTAGACAACACAAGAGGGCTCAGAGGACGCGATATCTGGTGGTGATGACTATTCGGGAGAAAAGAATGATCGTGATGAGTTAAGTGATGTTGTCATGGGAATGGCAACGATGAACATACCCTTGGAAGGCATAAGGGTGCATTTTCAACGCCTCGTGGACCCAGACATAGTTCTCTTGTAAATGTACTATCGACATCCCGACAACAAGCTGCAACCTCTAGAGCACCCGTTTCTAGAGCGGAAATAGAATAATTATTGTTGGATCAACAATCTTTATCGAATTGCCACTCCGAACCATCAAACTCGAAATCATTCAGCATGTGGACTCGGAATTTGCAAGACTAAAGGAGTTCATATCTACACATGTGACCCCATCCAATTCTAGCATCCCTGCAACCACGACAGATGCATGTGAACCCAAATATACTGAAAATGTACAGCACGGTATGTACGTTAAATGTTTAAAAGTTAATCTTATTAAACATTGTGAATGATTTCATTAGTATACAAACTAGAAATCGATGACATGATTCGTTAATATTGCAAATGTTGTTTTGAACTAAATGGATTGGGCATCGACCCCCAAGGTCCGTGCCCAAATAACCGGAGGGTCTGTTGTCTAGTGAGAATCAGGATGTAAATGATACGTATGTAGAGTATGAGGAATTCAAAATTTTTAAGATTCTAATCTTGTTGTCTGGTATACAAACTAGAAATCGATGACATGTTCGTTAATGTTGCAAATGTTATTTTGAATAAGATGGAAGAGGTATAGCCTGAAGTGTCCTGCCCGGAGAAGGATGAAGTTCCCTCAGGTTCTGACGTCATG